GCGAGGTGGTTATAAAAGGCTCTCTACCCCCCAAGAACAAGGTATGCAAACTTTGTGCTATTTGGTTTTATCTTGCCTTTGAAGGATTCTAACTTGAGCTTCGGAGCCTTTACACTAGGTTCCCCCCGGAGCTTCCTCATCTTCTCCATTTCAGGTTCCCTACAATTCCGCTCAGAGGCAAGGTCGTTGATAGCTAAGACCGGCCGGATTGCGCACCATCAAGAAGTATAATATTTGCTCACTTGTTGCTTCGTGTCTTGATGCCTAAATAATTGGTATCATTGATGACACTTGTGCAGGTTGTGTAGAAGGGGGGTGGGTTGTTGGAGCCCCGTGGTGGATTTTTGTTTTGCCGCAGACAAACATGGTTTCCATATGCCCCCATCTTATGAAAAAGACGTGAAAGGAGTGAGAAGATTGAAATTTTGTAGAAACATAGCCAAATTTGATTAGCTTGTTCTAAGAGGAATGGGGGGTTGCCGATGATGATTTCTTATTGTTTTTCTTCTCTCTCTCTGTCTCTCTCGGTCTAAAATTGATGAACTACTATGCTGTGATTTGAGATTGGTCTTTATTTTTGTTGGCTTCATACTGAAATCTAGGTTGATCTGGATAGGATTTGGCTCTATATTTATATTGAGGCTTGCTTTTGTGTATCTCTGATCCTTGCTTTGATTAGAGATGCAGGCATAATGTGTCACAGAAACTAGCCTAATTGCCAACAAAGGTCGCAGAAGTTAACCAGAAGCCTAATTGCCAACAAGGCAATTAAGCTAGTTTCCCTCATGAGATATGATAAGCTATTGTACACCTGATATTGGTACCCCCCTCCCCTAAAAAAGAGAGATTCTTATAAGTTAGAGGTTCTTATAAATAGTTGTTATGAAAGCTAAAGGCATAGGTTTTAAGTTAGAGATTCTTATAAATAGTTGTTATGAAAGTTAAAGTTAGTCCTAGCTGTAAGACAGGAATTGTGTGGGGGAGAGATAAGAGATTTTGTCTCTCACTGACTGTGTACTGTGATTTATACTCTTTGTATCTACTTTTTCTTTCTCTATTATTGAAATTTCTGCAGTTACCGATAAAAAAAATGTTAGTTAGTTCTTTGAGAGATTTCTCAATCTTCTATTGTGGATTCAAGAGTTTTCTTCTCTTTTTCTTATAAAACTCTATTGTCTTGGCAGTGCTGATTGGCATGTAAAACCATAGGACTAACCTAGAATTTGATTTTCTATTTTATAGAACTATGCTTAGGCAATGCCTTGGTAAATAGGCCCTCCATTGTTGATTGTTGCCTAGAATTGTCTATATGCCTTCAACTATGCTCCATGGGTTCTTTCCCTGCTTCCAAACCTTCATTAGCTTGCCATACCATTTTATAGTGTGATCAATGTATAATCCTGTGAAAACCAGTTCCATTTAATCAAAAGTTAAATTTTGTCTAAAGCCTTTGTTTTTCTTGATGTCAGGGTGGAGCAAATGGTGGACATACCATATATAATTCTGAGGGAAAGAAGTTTGCTCTTCTCCTTGTTCCTTCTGGAATCCTCAATGAGGAAACCCTCTGTATTATTGGAAATGGAGTTGTTGTGCACCTACTGGGATTATTTAAAGAAATTGATGGCCTTGAATCCAATGGAATCTCTTGTAAGGGAAGGATACTGGTATCTGATCGTGCACAGTTGTTATTTGATTTCCATCAGGTAACTGATGGGCTTAGAGAATCTGAGCTCGCTAATTCCTTCATTGGGACAACTAAGAGAGGGATTGGGCCTTGTTATTCAAACAAGATGATCAGGAGCACATGGATACTTTTGCCCAGAAACTTGATCTGTTATTATCAGATGCAGCTTCACGATTCAAAGGGTTTAACTATGGCCCTCACATGCTCAAAGAAGTTAATCATTACAAGAGGTTTGCTGAGCGGTTAGAACCCTTCATTGCTGACACTGTCCATGTTGTGAATGAATCCATCTCCCAGAAGAAGAAAATATTGGTTGAAGGTGGTCAAGCGACAATGCTGGATATTGACTTCGGAACCTACCCATTTGTTACTTCCTCTAGCCCATCAGCAGGTGGGATATGCACAGGGCTTGGCATTGCTCCAAAAGTCTTGGTGATCTGATAGGAGTGGTGAGTGGATTCCTTTATTTTTGAGTGATGAAACATCATACTGTCTCGTACAGTCATTTAGCATTATCTAAAGAGAAACCACATGCAGGTAAAAGCATACACTACAAGGGTTGGCTCTGGTCCTTTCCCAACAGAGATCCTGGGGAAACGTGGAGACCTTCTTAGGGTTGCTGGGAAGGAGTTTGGAACTACTACCGGTCGTCCTCGGCGTTGTGGCTGGCTTGATGTGGTTGCACTGAAATATTGCTGTATGATCAATGGTTTCTCTTCCCTCAATCTCACAAAACTTGATGTCCTGTCGGACCTCCCAGAAATTTATTTGGGAATTTCTTACAAAGAGAGGGATGGCACACCAATCCAGTCGTTCCCTGCAGACCTTCAAGTTCTTGAGCAATTGAAGGCAAGTTTTTGATCTTAAGATAAATCGAGATACACTATTTATTTATTTTGAAACATGGTTCACTTAAGCTGTGTTAGGTTTGAAGGAAAAGGTGTAGGGAAAGGAAGGGAAATGAATACAAAAACCTTGTATAGGGTTTCCCCTACCTCTCCATTCCTTTCCCTACCTTTTCCTTCAAGCCAAACACAGCCTTAATGCTTCCAGGATAGGAGGATATCCTAACATTCTGTTAATGACTTGCATCTAATTCATATTCAGGTTGAATATGAAGTGTTACCCGGGTGGCAGTGTGATATTTCTTCTGCCAGAAATTATGAAGACCTTCCGCAGGCTGCACGCAGATATGTTGAAAGGATAGAAGAACTTGTTGGTGTACCTATCCACTATATTGGGGTTGGACCCGGTCGTGATGCTCTCATATTCAAGTGATTTCTTTATCAGTCCCTGGATGACCCATAGGCGTTTATCTTGTCCTCAGAAGTGAGTGGGAGCTTCTGTTTCCCAGCTGAAATCCTCCCCTATAAACGGAGTTAATGAATGTGAATTATATTGTTTGCATCACATTCTATTGATGTTATAGTATATAAGCTCCGTCAATGGGGATTCTTTGAACAAGTTCTCTCTTTTTATGTTTATGTAAGTTTATTGAAACCCTCAATAATTTATTAGAGAAATTTTGGAGCCTGAGATATGTTTTCCCTTTGTTTTACAGGTCGGGAGAGATCAATCCAGAACGAGTTATCATCTCTAGATTTTTATCCTTCCCGTTCTTGATTGGGGATCAAATCTGTTGACTTCCACTAGGCCAAACTTCCATGGGAGTTGATAGTTCTGAAGATGGGTCATTGCAAAATATGGTTTTGATATGGTTTTATTCTAAAATCTGATATATTTGATGTATGGTTGGCATGTGGCATCATTGATTTTGTTTTAGGTATGGTTGGCATGTGGCATCATTGATTTTGTTTTAGGTATGGTTTGGCATCTGTTGACGTTGATATTGAGGTGGCTACTGGTTTAAGAGGTCTTCGTTAACCTCTGAAACTATGCATGGTTTTGCCATGGTTTGGGGTTTGCTATGGCAATTTGTGTATTTCAGAGCCCCTCTTTGATGGATTTGCTTTAGTGCTCAGTTGTGCTGTTGAGGGAGTTAACATTATCGATTGCATAATCTCTGTTAGGTAGACGAATGACTTTTGTGCCGTTTGCAGAGCTTGCTCAAGCTATTTTTGATGCTCATGCTTACCTTATTTTATGCAAAATTAGTCTGTTTTATATTGTTATATCTTTTTTTTACTTGTCTTGTAATATGATCTGCCATATGGCTCAAAAAAACTGCCCATAAAATCATAGTTTGATTTCAAATAAGATGTCATATTTGTGTTAAGTTGAATTATCTTATACTGTTGGTTCCATACCCAAAGGTGATTGAGAGATTTAACGATGGTATGTATGTATGATATTGAATAGAATGTAATGGTGGAATATTTGGATGGGACTTGGTTGAGGATAAGGAAAATCCTTCAAATAAAATATACTATATTTAAAAAAAATTATAAATTAATAAATAATTTATTTTGACATGAAAACTAGTGAAGGGGCACCAGCTATGCATGCGTGTGAATAAATGGTAAAGATACAAGTTAATATTATATAATTAAATTTAGATGATACATACAAAGCAAAATTTTTAAAGTTGCAGAAAAAATGTTGTTATAGTAAGATATTTTCAAAATCCAGACTGAGAATTGGGAAAAAGGACTTGCACCTTATACTTGAAAAAATGATTTCAAGGATAATTATGGGTTTTACTTACAAGGATAATTATCTCTCTAAAGCACTCAAATTAGGGAAACTTTGATTTCATAGGAAGTTACTCTTGGAAATTTTTTGGTTGCTCATTTCTTTGGGTAAATTACATATTATCACCTTGTATTTTGGGATTGCTTAGCCCCTGAACTTTCATTTGTGACAAAGACCTCTATGAACTTTTAAATTTTAGGGATAAGTGGACTGCAGTCCACCTCATAAATCTGAAATTGCAGTTGCCTCTTAGTCTACTAGCCCCCCCCCCTATAAACCGCACTTGCTCGTGAATTTGGCATCAATCCACAGGTAGGATTCAGTCCATCCCTAGAAATCTTACCTCTACCCTAGGGGTGGACTGAACTATAAAAACCCCTAAATTTTAACATGACCTCTTAGTATTTTATCAATTGACTTAAAAAAAGATTCTCATTTGACTATTACATGCAAACATTTTTAAATCTTTGAACTACCCTTTCCTTAATTTATAGATCATTTGGTCATTTCTCCTAGTATTTGTTCTAACTTTTTATTTATCATCACCATTATTATTATTATTATTATTATTATTATTATTATTATTATTATTATTATTATTATTGTTATTGTTATTGTTATTGTTATTNTGTTATTGTTATTGTTATTGTTATTGTTATTGTTATTGTTATTGTTATTGTTATTGTTATTGTTATTGTTATTGTTATTATTATTATTATTATTATTATTATTATTATTATTATTATTATTATTATTTGTATTCTATTTCCATCATAAATAAAAATAATTTTTATTTTAACAATTTTGTATTTAATATGATGAATATATAACATTAGAAATGTCCTCAAGTGTTTTCGACAAAATTGTATAATTTTCATTTTTTGTGTTCTATCTTTTTTAAATATTTATTATTATTCAATTATGACATCACCATGAGTTTATTTGAAAAGTTTGATCATTAACCCACCATAGGAAAACTGTCTTGCTTTCAGATCAATTTTAAATTATATATTTCATTTACATTATATAAATAATATTTATTTATCATAATTTTTATTTTATATAATTAATAGATAATATTAGATATGTGTCCAATTTTTTTATAATTTTTATATTTTTGGTTCCTTATGCCTTTTTTATTTTTAAAAATTTATTATTTTACTATAACATCATTGGTTAATCCATTTGACCCAAACCACTAACCCACCGCCCAAACCTTCTATTATTGCATTTTCCATCATTGATAAATATATGTATAATACTTATTTATGTTCAATATAATGAATGTATAATATTATAGATGGATTCAATATTTTATTTTTTATAAATATATAACATCAAATATGTGCCCAAATTGTTCTCCAATGTTTTCTTTATTTTTGTGATTTTTTTTTGTATTTTTATTTTACAAATTTTATTATTTGACTATGACATCATTTAATTTAATATTAAGGTTTATTTTAGATTTGTAATTCTATTTTCATCGTTAATAAAAATATTTTCTTACATTTCATACTTAATTTTATTTAGTATAATGACTATATAATATTAGAGATATGCTCAATTCCTTTTTGTATTTTTATGTATTATTTATTTCAATTTTTTTATTATTTAATTATGGCATTATTGGTTAACCTATTTGACCCAAATGGTTAAATTGCTTACCCACCACTGGGAGGGAAGAAAATGGTTTTATTTTTATATTATTTTTTAGAATATTTATTTTTATACTTTTAAAATCAATGTTGTAGATTTAATTAATAGAATTTAATGATGAGAAAAATATGGCTTAAATATAGGATTTAATGAGAGAATATACCTTAGATATGAGACTTAATGAGAGAGAATAAGAAAATGATTTTATTTCTAATTGACTTAAATTTTGTATTCAATTTCACCATTAATAAAAGTATTTCTTATTTATCATACTTATTCTTCTCTAATATGATGAATATATGATATTAAAGATGTTCCCAAACTTTTCTTTAATTTTCATATTTTTTTTTTTGCATTTTACCAAGTTTTAATTTTTTATTATTTAATTGTGGCAACAATGCAACATGGGTTGGCTTATTTGACCCAAAATTGTTTAATTTTTTATGTTATTAGAGTTATTTATGTATGGATTTAATTAGTGGAATTTAGTAATTAAAAGAAACAAAATGCCATAATGTATGGTTAAATGAGGTTGAATGAGAATTAATAACTTAGATGGAATTTAATGAGAGGGAATTGAATGCAATGAATAATAGTATTCAAATTACATTTTCTGCCCTCATAATAGATAGGGACCCTATTTCAAAAAAGGGATATTTTAGTCTAAAAAGTTCCAGAAATCTTAAACCCTATTCATACTTTTTATAGTAGTAATAAAATGGGTAAAAAAGAGATAACTACTTTGTCCTGTTCATTTTTATCGTTTTGGAATGTTGTATTTCACTTAGGGGTATCATGGGCCGGGCCGGGCTTTGCACTTATGATAAGGGCTATAGCTTAGGCTCGGGCTTGACCCAGCCTAGGGTTTTGGGCCTGAAACATAAGCCCTATCTAGGTCTATATGGGCCCGAGTCGAGTCGGGTCGAGCTTGATTCCGGGCCAATATCACTCATATATAAAACATTATATATTTATATATTAAATGACATAACATGCATATAAACTTATTTTATACATTATATAATGTAAAATATTACATATAATATAAATTATATATGTCGTGTTATAATATTTATATATATAATATATAATATAATGTAAAAATAACATGTATACATATGTATACATTATACACAAAATGTGTAAGTTTAAATATATGCGGGCCAGGCCCGGCTTGAAGTATTAAGCCCAAGCCCGGCCCTAAAATTTGCGGGGCTGGGCCCGAGCCAGGCCTGAACACAAAATCCAGGCCCAAGCCCATAATTTCTGGGCCGGGTTGAAATGATCACCCCTAATTTCACTCATACAAACCTTAAAAATGGCCTTTTAATAAATTATCCTTTTCTCTAACAATTTATTAATGGAGAGGGGGTAAAATGTTGGAATCTCAAAGTAAGGCTTATCACTATCCTGCAATTACCGGTCTACTGATTCGGTTCTTCGGTTTTTCGGTTTTTTTATATTTATAATATATATTATATAAATATACGTATAATATATATAATATATTTGTAAATAGATCATTATAAATATAATATAAGTATATATTTATATATAATGAATATATATTTATATAAAATACATAGAAAATATGTCACATATATTAAAAATATTTATAAAATATACATATAAATATATATACTGGTTGGTTCGATTAACCATCAATTTTTTTATAGGTGAACCGAAAACCGAATCGGTCCTTCGGTTTTTCAAAAATTCTGAATCGAAACCGAACTGGCTAGTTCGGTTAACCGCATTTTGCGGTTCGGTTTTCTTGATTCGATTCAGTTTTTCGGTTTTTCATGGATACCCCTACCCGCAATAGACTTTTATCCTTTTCTTTTCTAGTTCAGTTCCTATCTATTTTTTGAGTCCGGATCCAAGGAAATGCTCTAGATGCATGGTTCCAATAGTTGTTGGGACTAAATTTGAATTCTTATTTTTTATCTTTTTTTTTGCTTGCTTCGGGAATCCCATTCCTCAAACCCATAACCCCCCAATGATCCCAAATTTTCACAAGTTCACATTGGCACTAACAATCTACCGTGTATTGAGAATATCTCCCAATGATAAATATCAAAGGTGTTTCCAATCTACGCTGAGTTATACATGTGGGACACTGATGTGATTTCAATCTTCACTACAATCAGCCAGTTGGCATCTTGCCAGCTTGACTCAATCCAGATCTCCTACCCACAATAATCTTACCAAGATAATGAATGGCAACATGTAAGTATAAATGTTCTCAATGTGCGGCTGATAGGAGATCCGAACACGACTTGTCCCTATTTTTCATCGTTAAACCCGCTTGGCTAGTTGATGGGTGAAAAATGTAATTAACTCTGTGAGAAGAAGAAAAATGTAAATCTTGGTATGCGAGAGGGGTAGAATCAAATTTTATGTGTTATTTTTTTTGGTAAATTACAGACAGGTATCCTGTATTTCGGGGGTAGTGACAGATAGGTACCTCGAACTTTTAATTAAAACACTTGAATACCCTAAACTTTCAAAAATACACTTAAATTCATCTGTTAGTATTTTTGAGATTATTATATAGATTAAATTCATCATTATGGAGAAAAGTTCGATTACTTGATAATGATATAAAAAAATACACGAGAAGGATACTTTTGACATTATACAATGTTTAACTGACGGAATAGACCCAAGTGTTTATTTTTAAAAGTTCAGGGCATTCAAGTATTACATATCTGTCACTACTCCAAAGTATAAGGTACTTGTCTGTAATTTACCCTATTTTTTCTTTCTTTTTGGTTGAAAAAAAATAAATGAAATTAGATGATCGAAACTTGAAATATCCAGCCGCTTACTGACGTTGTAGTTAGCCTCCATTTGTTGAACACTAGCCACTAGCCATGGAGCGAGGGAAGGCATCCAAGAAATCTTCTGCTATTTCTTTGCAACAATTCGTCTCGATCATGGCTCCCTTAATCGATATGGAAAAGGTCTCTCTCTCTCTCTCCCGTGCGATATCTTTTGCTTATTCCAAAGGCATATAACCTTTTCAACAACGAAAAAAAAACTAATTTTCCTCCCTTTGAGTGCATTAAATAACTCGGGTACTTCAAGTTTCGAAACAGTTGGAGGATATGTTTCTCTGGTTCTCTTGCATATTTCTGTATGAATCAAATAATGCCAGGTATTTATTATTTACAATTCGACCACTCACCCTGGTTGAGCATTGGTATCAGAATCTGTTCGGTGTTAGCAATTAGTAGTCTCAATAAATCAATCGTGAAAAAGAATGGGAATATTGTCTTTTCTTTTCTTTTTTTTTTTTAATTTTCTCTAGACATTTATTTTGGTTGATTTAATATTTGGATTTTGGAATAAGCTGAAATATACTCTTCAATGTTCTTTGATGGTTGCTAGGAGGCCGAGATATCCGCCTCTATCACCTCAGGCTCATCGAGGACCCTGGATACTGCTCAAAAGAGGGGCTCCACCATTCTCAATCTAAAATGCGTAGATGCTCAGGTTGTTCCATTAAAGAGTTTTAGTTTAATTTCACTTTTCAAGCTTTAGCTCCCGAATTGAATTGATAGTTTCCCTTTTTGTTTGTCACTTTCCATCAGACAGGGCTAATGGGTAAAACGCTTCTAGAGTTCCAATCTAATAAGGGAGATGTTCTTCCTGCTCACAAGGTAACTCATTGTCCTGTGTGTGTGTTCAATTCGTCTACTATATATATATATATATATATATATAGAGAGAGAGAGAGAGAGAGAGAGAGCAATTATGCTTCAATTGACAGATTTTAGGGGCTATTGCTTGGGTATGATGATAAAACCTTGGACTGACAAGAGCGAGAATGCAGGTTAAAGTCTGAGAGTAGCCAATTTGTGCAAGAAAATGCCAAAGGTTAGGTCCATATCCAGTCCATCCTTCCCAAGGCTCTGGATAGCCAGGACCAACATTGGGTAATGATCCTTTTTGAGGGAGCTGTTAAACTTTCTACTTCTTTTTTATTTGAAATCTATTCAAACTGAGATGAAAAGAAACTGAAATATGCTAAAAGAAGAAAAAGAAAGAAAATAATTCCAAATCACATCAGAGTTGAGACATTGATGATCTAGCAAGAAGAAATCCTAATTTCTAGTTTTGTTTTTTTCCCCTCATGTGTCTCCATCATTTTCTTTTTCTTTTTCTTCTTCTTTGATCTGCTTTATTCCAGGGGTGTTAAAGGGTTGTGGTTGATGTGGTGTTTAAAAGCTGCCTGGAACAAAGTGATGATTCATTTATGTGGTACTATGGAACTATGAAGAATGTATAGATGATTCATTTATGGAGTGCTTAGGAGCTGCATATCAAAAAAATGATTTCATTAATTTCTCATTACATTCAAGTCCAAACTTTATCATTAAAAGTGGGTTCATTAAATAACATCAATTGGATTTAGAATGACTAAACTTTAGAATTTAAATAGATAAATTTTATTAAATTTTCCTTTCTATTTTGTTCTGGTAATGGCTTCATTGTGAGGGGCCGTTTGATAACAGCTGACATTGCTGAACTGAATTACTTATTCCTTTGTTTTTTACTGGATAATATAATTAAATAATGAAATATTCAAGGCCCCTAAGTGGTGGATTATGTGTTCAAAAATCAAATTGAGATGCCACATAGCTTCCAAATTTATTAATTGATTAACACATTTCTTCATGTTTTTCTTATAGACGGGTTCTGAATATTAGGGTTTCTCTTTTTGTGTTTTAGTTCGGGACTCATGATGTGGTTATTTTAAAGCCAAACAAAGCTGATTTAGGATCTTCTTCCCTTGGACAGGGTGTAGTCTATCGACTAAAGGTATTCCCACTTTTAAATTAATTGATAAATAATTGCATTACTTGGTACAATTTATTCCCATTTATCTCTGTACCTGTTCCTCACTTGGATTGTTAACTTGTTGCCACATTAAACAGGATTCTTCAATCACTGTTGCTTTTGATGATATACCAGAAGAGGGACTAAACAGTCCTCTCCGTCTTGAAAAGGTTGCAAATGAGGTATATGTTCCGCTACAAGTTTCCAAATCATTCAATTATTTTGTTTCAAGTAACTTGATGTTAGTATTATGATTGTGTTTTTCTTAAACTAGAGTGCAAGTTCATTTTTTCTTAGGATGTACATTATGGTATGGTTTACAGCTTTTTTTTTTTTTGTTTGAAAAGTTCATTTTGTAGGATAAGGTTATTCACAAATTCAAGTAATGTTGATTGATTGATGATACTATGATGGTGTGGTTTTCCTCTTTTTTATATATGTTTGAGACTTTACAGAAATAAGTCCAGGAGGGAATTGGATACCCTTTGATTTTCTCTTATTTTGAAAATGAACAAACAACATGTCTTGTCATATCATAGAAATCTGTTTGTATGTTAGATCCTTAACATTCTTCTCCAGAATGTGAAGCTTTATTTGATTTTCTAAAATGCCCTTAAAATAATTAAAAAGGAATTATTCTAGGGAATTTCAACCAACACTGTTTTCTAGTGAGTTTCACACTTCATACTTACAAAAGAATGCTGAGAAATTAAATGGATTATGTAGGTGACATACCGGAGAATGAAGGATGCCTTGATACAACTGAGCAAAGGTGTGCAAAAGGGACCTGCTGCTGATTTGGTCCCTGTATTGTTTGGCGAGAAACAACTTGCATTCTCAAAGAAGGGTGTCTCTTTTACTCCATTTAACTCCAGACTTGATCACTCACAGGTTTTTAAGACCTTGGCTCTCCTTGATTTATATTACTTTTAATATTCTACTCCTGTAATTTAGGCACTCTGTTTATAGTTACACTTATTCTACTCAAAGTTCATGCAAGCGTGTTTCATTTGTTACAGTGAAAAGCTCTCAGTATGAATAACTCTTACATTCCATATTGGACTAGTGTTAAACATTGAGAAGATTCTATTTTGCATATGGAATTTTTCTTAGCTGTATAACCAAGGTTCAAAGTACCGATATGAATATGATATGGGGCATATCAGGCATATTGTATCATTTTTCAGGGTCATTGATACACTAAATCTTGAGAATTTGGACATTTGACCACTTTTGAAGGGTAATACCTTTCCTAGAGATGCCCTGCCTCAGTTTTCAAAAAATAGTTTTTTTTTTTTTTTTTTTTTATAAATTTTCCAAGTGTATCACCCCTATGAATTACTTATCGAACTTTGAGCAGTACTATCATTTCATATATCCTGCTTGAATAATTCTTTTTCTCATTCAACTGACTAGAAATCCTGAATGGTACCAAGTACCATTACATCATGAATATGTTTTAAGAAAGGGTTTTTTGTTTATTTTCAAAGCAATCATAGGAAAATAGAGATATTTATTCATATACATTAACTTCAGTGGGAGCCCATTTTGCTTATAATTTTATCTGGCTTATCCTTGGCAAATTTTTCAAGGGATATGGAACTAACACAATAAGTTCTTCCCATAATTATCTTGGCTAAAATTTGGAATTTGATGCTTTTGGTGTGGTCGCTGTTCATAACTTTTCTGTTTTATTCACAATATAGAAATTTCATTAAAGATAAAAGATGGTGAGAGAGGCTAACAACACAGTTTGATAGTCTTACAAAGGTGTAACAGTGGAATCAATTCAGAAACATCTAAGTCACCATGCCAGAAAATTACCTGCACACTAGTTTAGGGTAGTCATCCTCCATACCTCCTTCCTTATAACTCAAATAATCCAACCCTAGCCATGCCATTCTCTGAAGTAGTTGGTCCAAGAACGCAATGGAAGAAGCTGATTATTATGAAAGGCAAAACTATGTTATCCTCTAATAATGTAAGTTAGATGTCAAGGGTAGCCCTCTATTATCCATCTGATCACCTTCTGAGAATCCCTTCTATTACCTGAACCGAAAGCTTGTAAAAGTCTAAGGCCATGAGTAAGAGATAATTTCAGATACTGTTATTGATAAAATAAAAAGAGATAATTTCAGACAGATTGAGTCTCCTATGCCAATAGGGCCAGAGAACTGCAGTAGAATTTCTCCCTCAATATTTTTCAGTACTCCAATGGTAGGTGGCCCAGATTGCCTAAAGAGCATTGTCAAAATTGAGGGTGTACTTTTCCTACCCTTTGATAGCAAAGTAAAATAAGAAATATCATTGAAGAGAAAAGAAGAAATTACATGAAGATATTGCTGTGAAGGCCTTAACACAACAAAAGAAACTTCCTGGAGGAGACAATTCAAAAGAAACAAGAATCTAAGCATCATGTACCATAACGTCTTGAGCTGACCGAAGATTAGACCCAAAAAAGCTCTATTCATATTTTTAAATTCAGGGTTTGCCACCAAACAGTCCACAAAAAAGATGGCCAATACCAGCCACTCTTCTTCTGTCATCTCTCATTTTTCCTTCAAAAGTTCTATTCATCTCTTTCTATCAGCCCCAATAAATTGCAAGACAAGAAAATTTGAGCTTTCTTACTTCCAGAAAAAGATAGCCATAAGTACTTGTCAAAAAAAAAAAAAGAAAAAAATAGCCAAAGGGAGAAAATTTTATGAAGATGAGGACTATAAACTGGTTTTTTTTGCCCTTTTATTCTATGTATCTCATGTAAACTGGATTCATTCTAATTTTTCCAGAAAGAAGCAATCTCAAAGGCCCTCTCCTCCAGGAATGTATTTCTACTTCATGGGCCTCCAGGAACTGGAAAGACAACAACCATCGTGGAAATTATCTTGCAAGAAGTGAAACGTGGATCAAAGATTCTTGCCTGTGCTGCTTCTAATATTGCTGTTGACAACATTGTTGAACGGCTTTTTCCTCATAGGTATCATGGGTTTTAACTATTTTATCAATAAATTTTCTGCTGCCAATCAAAAAAAAAAAAAAAAAATCATGGGTTTTAACTATGTCAAAAATTTCTTCCATTCCTTGGAGTTTATCCTCTAGTTAAGAAATGTGTGCTAGGAATTTATGATACTTATTTTGTAGCTTGCTGCGTTGTTTTCTTTTACTGACCTTAATTCTGGCAAAGGCTTTTTTGGGCATTTAGGGAATATGTTGCTTGTTTACTTTCATTTTTTATTTTTTGTTTTTAATCTGTTTTCTTTTGGTTTCTGCCACACTTTCACCAGATCTTGCCCATGCCATACCTTTTTTTCTTTGTTCTTTTTCATAATGGCATTGGTTGTTAAAAGCAATAAATTCTAGTTTAACCTGCAGTTTTAAATCTGTTTTGTGGTTCTGGCATACTTCATCAAGTACTGCCTGCATCATGCTTCTTTTTTTTTTTTTTTTTTTTTCTTTTACAGAATGTTAATGGCTTTTAAAGTAATAGATTCTAGTTCAACCTGCATGACCATTTCTTGGTTAATGGTAGAATCTCGGGCTGAGAAGCATGAGAACATGCGTTTGGTTCTGAGGGGAGGGGGTGCACTTTGTGCTAAAAATTGCTAAAGGTTTGATCCACATCTGGTCCACCCCTCCCAAGACACCAAACAACTGGGACCAACATTGGGTAATTGCCTTTTTTTTAGTTCAACCTGCATAATTTTAGCTATCGTTTTGTATATGTGGAAGGTATTCCTTCACCGAAGAAAGTATTTTCAGGCAGTAGTGCACCATGGTCCTCCTAACTGTTGCTTGCTGAATAAATTCTGAGCAAGGATGCTTCCATTTGGTTTTCTTGGCTCCACTCATCATCACCAAATGGACGAGTAGATTTATCTTATGCAATTCATGTCTTTATGTAAACATTCTTTGAAACCTGTGGTGTTTGTTACATTGAGCTGTAAGCCTTAAGATGTATTACTAATATGCTCGACCCATTTCCTTCTTAGGGTAAAGTTGGTGAGGTTGGGGCATCCTGCACGTTTGTTACCTCAAGTATTGGAGAGTGCACTTGATGCACAGGTATAATGCCTACAATATTATGAATACTGTTGAAACACTCAAACACTATCCACATGCACATTTTATTCTGTACTCATGGTTTTCATCTACATTTTTTATTTTTAATGTAAATTCCACTTGACCACCTAATTAATAAAAATGTGTATATGTATTTTCTTGTGCTCTCTCTCTCTCTCTCTGTTTATGCATACTTTTGGGAAAAGGGGTGTACCATGTATATATACATTTGTGTATGACATATTTTAGATGCTCATAATTGCTTTTCAATACACTTGTTTTATTTTTAAATTGGATTTATTTAGTTTCTGTTCCAGTTTCTTCACATCCTTATTTTCTTGTCTATAAGGCTTTACAACATCTGAGTATGCATGATGCATGTCTCCTTGCATTGACCTTGCAGATATAGGTTTTGTTTGGTTCTCCACATGTAAGGCTTTGTTTTAAATGTAACTGGTCACTGATTCTCATCCTCATTAATGCTAATTCGTCCAAATGGCTTTTCGTTATGCCTTTCTTTGACATTTATTTGTACTTAGCTTTTTAGTTGACCTTTTAGGTTTTACGAGGGGACAATAGTGCTCTGGCAAATGACATCCGCAAGGAAATGAAGGTAAAAGTTCAGAACTGAACCTTGGAATTTGATATACTTGAGTTATTTTTAATTGAAGCCAAACTTGCTAACACTGACAAGCTTGTTTTAGGGTTATTCAATGACAGCCAAAGTGGCTGAACTGAATGGTTTATTGCTCTGTCAGTTGAGACACATCAGAGCTGCAGTTTTAGGCATTCAGACATTTTCTTTTTGATATGATACTGCAAGGATTAAATACAAAGTTAAGCTTATGGACAAATGCCTTAGAAACAAGAGGTTTTAAAATAAGTAGGACTAAACATAGTATATGACATGTAAATTTAGTAATAATAGGACTGTAAATCAAGATATGCTTAAGATTGAAGATCAAGAGATAACTCAATGTGACCATTTCTGGTACCTTGGTTCAATAATTCATAACAAGGGAAAGATTGCGGAGGATGTCACCCAAAGAATTAGAGCAGGATGGGCAAAATGGAGGGTGCATCTGGACTTTTATGTGATAGGTTAATATTACTTTTCTTAAAAGGAAAATTCTATAAAACAGTTGTAAGGCCAGTTATGTTGTATGGAGCAGATTGTTGGGCAGTCAAGAAACAACATTTCTAGAAAATGAATGTGGCAGGAATGCGGATGCTAAGATGAATGAGTGGAAAACTAGAAATGATAGGATTAGGAATGAAGTTATTTGTAGGAACCAGGGTATCTCTAATAGGTGAAAAATCAGAGAGAGTAGACTAAGATGGTTTGGGCACATGCATAGAAGGCCACCAATTGCAGCAGTTAGAAGAAGTGATCTTACACATTGAAGGGGCTAGAAGATCTTGGGGTAGATCAAAAAGGGCATGAGTAGAAGTAGTAAGAAATGATTTAAGCACTAATAATTTAACAGTGGATATGGCTTTAAATAGAACAGATTGGTGAAACAGGATTCATGTAGTCAACCCCATATAGTTGGGATAAGGCATGGATGATGATGATTAATAATTTATTATCGTACATCTTCATTGGTTTGTTTTCCAATAAATCATTAGTAGCATTATTAATGATTTATCATCGTACATCTTCATTGGCTTGTTAACCACAAAACCCATTTCCTACATGAATTGTCAGCTATATCAAATATCTGCCACTTGCCCTACATTTAGCTTCTGCACTTGATATGGCAAAAACATCTTCTGCATTGCTTCCATGTTCTACTAGATTTTCACCTAGTAAGTCCTATTCATCTCAACCTCCTGTCCTACAATGATAGTTTTAAGTCAAGTTGGTAACTTGTGGACTATAATTCAAGATGGCATTCTGGGTCTGCGGTTTAGTAACAATAAATAAGTAATTAGTAAACTAGTGTAACAAAGTTAATTTGGGAAATCTTATCTAGATTTTGTGTATATTTATTTCTTCCCATGAAGCTTGAATTGTTTATTTGAAGTTGGAACCCCAAAGCTATCTTGGTTATATGCCAAAGATTGTATGCTCTTGGGTGCAATGTAGATACATGGGCACGGGCTTGTATACTTGTTTTCTTTCATTCTTTTATTTTATGAGTTGAACTAACTCTTAAATATGGATTGCTTTCTCTACATGCCAAATGTTAAGAAACATCAAACATTTGTAGAAGATGTTAATATGTGCTAGTGTGCTACATCACTCAATATACAATATAACAAATTATGTTAATCCAACCATTTGGGTCAAACGGGTCAATACATGGTGTCAAAGTTAAATAATATTTTTTTAAATGGAAATAAATACAAAAATTTACAAAAAGTAAAAAAAAATTGAGCACATATCTAATATTTCATATTAAAGAAAAATGTGCATGATAAAGAAGAATTGTTTTTATTGATGATGGGAATCATCATCATCATCGTCTATGCTCTATCCTAACTATATATGGGGTTGGCTACATGAACGAGAATTCTGTATTTTATTGATGATAGAAATATGTAGAGAACACTGATGTGGACCCCACTGCTGTGGTCCCCACTGTGTTCGTATGGCAGCATAGCATATGTTTTGTTAATTATGTTGGTACTAGTTGGTAGTTATTGGTAGTTATTTCAGTTTGTTGTTACAGCTTGTTATTTCAGCTTTATTATTAGTTTATTTGCCATGTAAGCAATAAGGGCAATTCAGCCCTTTTACAATTAGTCAACATATATAAATATTAAGAGTGGGTCGGCAGATCATTAAGATCAACCCTCTCTTTTTCTAAATCCCTTTGTGTGCTTCTACTTTTCTCCCTCTCTTCTTCTTCTTTTCTTTTTCTTTTTGAATTCAAGACGGATTGTAGTCTTGATCGACTACTTGGTATCAAAGCAAGGATTAGGGTTTCTCATGTGAGTCTGATCTAGCCAACCACATGAGAGTTGCCTAGGGCTGGAAGATTAAGAGGATCCCTTTTCGGCTGATTCTTGGAGGTTATCAGAGACTGTAGCAGCTGTCCAAAGAGTGGATTGTGTTCTTGATAATCAGGAAGAATCAGAGGAAGATAAAGAGTCGGCGATCAGTTTCTTTATCAAGACTGAAGGTGGCGATCAGAATTTCTGT